AAATGGGGGGGTTGGGGGTGGAAAGGGGGGCTTTAGAGTTAAAAATGGGGGGGTTGGGGGTGGAAAGGGGGGATTTCGGGTTAAAAATAGGGGGTTTGGGGTTAAATATTGGGGGGTTATTTTGGGTAACTTTGTTTTGTGGACTCTGAGTGATTTGGAGGTACTTTTGAGGATGATATAGGGTCCTTTTTGAGCCATTTTACGTGCATTTTGTGGCCGTTTGGAACAATGTCAAATTTTTCTGAATTTTGCCCATTCTGACCGTTTTTAACCTGATCTTTGGGCTGTTTTTGGCCCCTCCCAGGGAAGCACTATGGGGTGTCGAGCTGCGAGGGCTGCAAGGGCTTCTTCAAGCGGACGATCCGCAAGGACCTGACCTACACGTGCCGCGACAACCGCGACTGCGTCGTCGACAAGCGGCAGCGCAACCGCTGCCAGTACTGCCGCTACCAGAAGTGCCTGGCCACCGGCATGAAGAGGGAAGGTGAACTGGGATATACCGGGGCAAATGGGGCCACCCTGGGAGGGGAGAAATAGGGGAAAAAAGAGAGAAAAACTGGGAAAAAAAACGGGGGAAAAATGGGGGTTTTGGGAGCGAAAATGGGAAAAAAATGAGATTTTGGGAGGTAATAATGGGATTTGGGGTTACTGGGGATACCGCGGAGGGACCAGGAGGTGACGGGGAGGTAACTGCGACAAACCAGGAGGGACGAAATCGTGAAAAAAACCCACCCCAAAATTCCATTTTTTCCCCATTTTCGCCCCACAAACTCCCATTTTCCACCCCACAAAAAAATGTCTTTTTTTTCCAAATTTTTCCCTTTCTTTTTCCACCCTTCCCACCCCCTTTCCCCCTGTTTTCTCATGGTTTTTCATGCTTTTCCAGCGGTGCAGGAGGAGCGGCAGCGTGGGAAGGACAAGGAGGGGGAGGGGGATTTCGGGGTCCCCCCTAACGAGGAGATGCCGGTGGAGAAGCTGCTCGAGGCGGAACTGGCCGTGGAACCCAAATCCGACGATGGCGCCGGGCCTGGAGGCACCTCGGTGCGTCTCGGGGGGTCCTGTTAGAACTTTGGGATCCCAAAAACTCCCCGTGGAAATTTTGGGGTGATTTCAGGGTCTGGAGAGGGATTTTTGGGGGGAATTAGGGCGGGGTTTCTGAGGGGTCTGGGGTGGATTTGGAGGGTCTTAGAGTGGGTCTGAGAGGATTTTGGAGTGGATTTGGGGGGTCCTGGATGGCTTTGGGTAAATTTGGGGTGTCGGGGGTGGGTTTGGGGGCATCTGGGTTGGATTTGGGGGGGTCCTGGGTGGCTTTCAGGTGGATTTGAGGGGTCCTGGATGGGTTTGGGGTAAATTTGGTGGGTTTAGGGTGGGTCCTGCATGGATTTGGGATGGGATTTTGGGGAGATTGTGGGCTCCAGGATGGGATTTTGGGGCGACTTTTGGACAATTCAGGTGTTCCAGGGAGATTTTGGGGGAAGTTTCCGCCCCGGAACTGCATTTTTTTTAGATTTTATGTGTTGGGACCGTTGGGGGAGGGGGTTTAAAATTTCAGGGGGGGGTCTGAATTTGACCCAAATGCTGCCCCCCCACCCCCCCCAAATTCAGCCCAATGACCCGGTGACCAACATCTGCCAGGCGGCTGACAAGCAACTCTTCACCCTTGTCGAGTGGGCCAAGAGGGTCCCCCACTTCTCGGGGCTCCCCTTGGACGACCAGGTCATCCTCCTCCGGGCAGGTGAGGGGCGATTTTGGGGGGGTTGACAAATTCTGGGGGGATTTGGGGAGGATTTGTGGAGGTATAGGGGGATTTGGGGGGCCTGGGAAGGGAGTTGGAGGGGATTGGGGGAGATTTGAGGGGGTCTGGAGGAGTTTTGGGGGATTTGGGGGGATTAAAGAGGACCAAGAGGGTACTCCACTTCTTGGAGACCCCTTGGACGACCAGGTCGTTCTCCTGCAGGCAGGCGAGACGGGATTTGAGGAGCTTTGGGGGAGACTTGGGGGAGTCTGGAGGAGATTTGAGGGGGTTTAGAGGGGAATTTGGAGGAACTTCAAGGGGATTTGGAGGGGATTTGGGGTCTATTCTGACCCCAAATTCACAGGAATTCCTTGGGGCATTCCAGGCTGGAATGAGCTGTTTCTCCCCTCCCACCCCACATGCTTTGGTCCTTCTCCTGTAGTTTTTAGGTCTCCTTTTAGATTTTGGGGCAATTTCCATAGATTTTGGGTGTCTTGCTATATTTTTCCGGGTTCTCCACGGGGCTTTCTTGTCGTCCTGACCCGGAATTCCTGGGGCGTTCCAGGCTGGAACGAGCTGCTGATCGCGTCGTTCTCGCACCGCTCGATCGCGGTGAAGGACGGGATCCTCCTGGCCACGGGGCTCCACGTGCACAGGAACAGTGCCCACAGCGCCGGGGTCGGGGCCATCTTTGACAGGTGGGGGCCCCCCCAAATTCTTGGGACCCCCCTTTGCCCGAAAAGCTGGAAATTCCCAAAAAAATCCTGACCTGAAAGCCCCTGATCCCCCCCAACTCCCCCCCAAACACTTGAAGTTTGTAAAAATGGGGGGACTTGGGGGGTTCCCCCCAAATTTAGGGCCCCCCTGGTGGAGGTTTGGGAGGTTCCCTGAAATTTGGGATCCTCCTTAGTCCGAAAAGCCCAAAATTCCCCACAAAATCCCACCTCGAACACCCCAAATTTCTCTGGGATCTCTCTCCAAATACCCCCTGAACACTTGAAGTCACTAAAAATGGGGGGGAATTGGGGCTTCCCCTTAGTCTTAGGACCCCCCTGGTGGGGTTTTGGAGGGTCCCTGAAATTTCAGGACCCCCCTTAACCCCAAATTCCCCAAATCCTCTCAAATCTTCCCAACCCCCCCTGAACACTTAAAATCTCTAAAAACAGGGGTGTTTTGGGGGTCCCTAAAATTTTGGGATCCCCCTGAATCCCAAAATTCTCCGCCCAAAAAGGGTCCTGACGGAGCTGGTGTCCAAAATGCGGGATATGAGGATGGACAAGACGGAATTGGGGTGTCTGAGGGCCATCATCCTCTTCAACCCCGGTCTGGAGGGGCTTTCGGGGGGTTTGGGAGGAATTTGGGGGAATTAAGGGAGATTGAGGGGGATTTGGGTGGGTTTTGGGGGAATTCAGGTGGGTTGGGGGGATTTTTTTTTTTTTTTTAATTTTGGGGGTTTCATAATTTTTGGGGGTTCTTGATAGTTTGAGACTTTTTCCAGCCCTCCAAGATCCTTTGGAACCCCCTCAGGACTGGAAAACCCTCGGAAAGTTTGGAGGGTCCCGGGGCTGGTTTTGGGGGGATTTTTGTGAGGTTTGAGGATAGCATTAAATGGGTCTTTGGAATTTTGGGCATATCTCCAATAATTTCAGGGTTTCTTTGACAATTATGGGGCCCCCCCTAGGCCCTTCAGGGCTGGAAAACCCTTGGGAAGTTCAGGAGTTTCGGGAGCGGGGGGGGGAAGTTTGGGAAGTTCAGGGGGGGATTGTTTGGGGGGTTTGGGGGTATTTTTATGGGTTTTTTTTGAATTTTGGGGGCCCCTGACGTGCTGGACCCCCCCCAGATGCCAAGGGCCTCTCTAACCCGTCGGAGGTGGAGCTGCTGCGGGAGAAGGTTTACGCTTCCCTGGAATCCTACTGCAAACAGAAGTACCCGGAGCAGCAGGGCCGGTGGGACTTGGAAGGGTTTGGGGGATTTGGGGGGGCTTGGGGATTCTGGGGGATTTTGGGGGGGTTTGGGGCTCCTGGGGGGTGATTTGGGTGGGAATTGTGATGGGTTTTGGGTCATTTTGGGTGGATATGGAGCCTTTTCCTTGCAATTTCCATGGCTGTTCAGGCCAGGGTTTTCTTAGAATTTTGTGGGAATTGGATGGAATTTCCAGGAATTTTGGGAGATTTAGGAATTGGGGAATTCTGGGCACGACTTGGGGAATGCTGAGGGTCATTTTGGGTGCAATCCTGGGTGGATTTGGGTTGATTTTTGGTTGTATTTGGAGCATTTCCCCCATGATTTCGACGGCTGTCTGGACTGGAATTACCGAGAATTCCCAGGAATTCCCATGGAATCCTCTCCAAAATCTAGGTTTGCCAAGCTCCTCCTGCGTCTCCCAGCCCTCAGGTCCATCGGCCTCAAGTGTCTGGAGCATCTTTTCTTCTTCAAACTCATCGGGGACACCCCCATTGACACGTTCCTCATGGAGATGCTCGAAGCCCCCCACCAGCTCTCCTGAGAACTCCCAAAATCCACCCCAAAAAAACCCCCAAAATCTCCCCCAAAACACCCCATTTTTTTAGCGGTCCTCCTCAAAAGTCCAGTTGTAAAATAAACCTTTTCCAGCTTTTTTCCCCCCATTTTCCACATTTTTTCCCCATTTCCCCCCCCATTTTACAGCATTTTCCCTCATTTTCCTGCTCTCTCAGAGGTATTTTTGGGGGGGGGAGGGCCCAAATTTCAAACATTTTCACCCTTTTCCACATTTTTCCCAATTTTTTTTGCTTTTTTCCTCATTTTCCAGCCTTTTTTCCACCCATTTTCCAGCTTTTTTCCCCCCATTTTCCAGCTTTTTTCCCCCCATTTTCCAGCTTTTTTCCCCCCATTTTCCAGCTTTTTTCCCCATTTTCAAGCTCCTTCCGGGAATTTTTTAGGGGGGAAGGGCCCAAATTTCCCCCCTTATCCCCCCATTTTTCTCTCCTTTTCCCCTCCTTTGTCCCCCTTTTTTTCCTCCTTTTCCATGCCATTTTTCCCTCTTTTCCAGCTCTCCCCCTGCCGCCCCTTTCCAGCTTTAATCGAGGTGCTTTTTTGGGGGAGGGTGGGGGGTGGAATATTTTGGGAGTTTTCCCCCTCTTTTTCCCCCTTCCTCCCCCATTTTTCTCCTCTTTTTTCTTTTGGAAATTGTGGAATTCCCTCCCCCACCAATTCCCTCCCCCCTTCAGTTTTTGCCCCTCCCCCCCCGGTTTTAA